TTAGTTGCCCTGAGCTAAGCCCTAAAATATTGACCATAACTCATTGTCGGAGAGTGATAAACCAAGAGCTTACATAAGTTTCTGTTATTGACATTTTGGATCTCACTTACAGAATGTATTAATTCAGCCCGACAGAACCAGCACTACTGTGTTGATTCCATCTCACTCTTTTTTCGACTTTTAAACTAGAGCTTGCAATTCATTTAACCCCTTAAGGACACATGACATGTGTGACATGTCATGATTCCCTTTTATTCCAGAAGTTTCGTCCTTAAGGGGTTAAAGAGTTTTGCAAATCATTCCACTGACCGCAGTCACATTCTATGTTTCTATCACAGTAAAGGAGTTTAAGCATGCGTGGGATAGGCATAAAGCTATCCTAACTATAAGATAAGACTAGGGAGTAATGAAAGTATTTAGAAAATTGGGCAGACTAGATGGGCCAAATGGTTCTTATCTGCCGTCACATTCTATGTTTCTATGTTTCTAGCACCACCTTTACTTCAATATTACAAACAAATACATATAGTCTGCTATACATTTTATATGTGCACCTGGCATTTTTATATTGAGAGAACTTTCAAAACCTACATATAGATTTGTTCCCATTTGTCAGATTACATTTTGTTTTCCTGTTTATTCAATGTAGCCATCCATCTCTAAGGAATTCTTTGGTACTATACAAATAATAATACCAAGAATGTGATTAGCATTGGCCCTCGATACAAAACAAAAAATTCTCACAGGGTTATTCAGTAAAGCAAGAATGCAAAGTAAATTTAAATTTTAAGACCAAAATAGCCGTGCTGGAGAAATTCTCCAAGTCTGCTATTCTTTCAGTGTGACTACTTTTGCCTTTGCTCACTGAAGTGAATAACCTTAGTAAATATTTTAAAACAATTTTAGATTTCTTATATTTATTTCATTTTAAACCATTTTGTTTTGTCTTTACAAAATGTATAGCAAAAAAACATTTCTAACCTTTGGAAAAATCTTTTGTTCATGAGAGCAAATGGTCAGCTTCCCGCTTGCTCTGGGGATTTAGAAAGGCTAAGCAGAAGGTGTTCTCTGAAACTTACCATGTCTCTGTCAAAAAGCTCTCTTTACTTTTGTTAACTGACATGTGGTTGTCACATATATAAACATGTGTTCAGCCGTAAATTCAAAAGGAATGATTTGGTCTGTTTAAGGTCAATAGGACACTTGGCTGCTCTAAAGAGTTCTGTCCTTACAATAACAAAACACAATGACTTTTAAATTTCCTTATATTAACACTTTTATATTACAGACTTCTTAGGGCTAATGTGTGTGTTAGATTTAGGATGTTGTTTCAGACCCAAAAATTACCAGTGGATTCTGTTGAACTACCTGTTAAAACATTAGAAAAATAATAGATTGTAAGCTTTAGTGATTGGATCTTATGTTATCCCATAAACACCAATTTTAAAGGCGGTACTAGACTTAATGCAACTATATTTTGAGCAGGGCTTTGCTACATTTTATTAGTACTGAAAGTTTTTCAATAAATAAAAGTAAACTGTGCTATGCAGTGTGTCAGCTTTAGTAGTATATTAACATGATAGCATATCTCCTAACACAATTGATGTGAATGCATGACCAGTGGTAAGAAAGTGGGGATTGTCCAAGTAAAGCTATGTATGTCCCTTGTGTTGTGATGGTGGGGTCCTCCCAAATAGTGGGTAGTCCCATCAAAAAGATAATGTTTCACCCCAGCCTCTTTGTGTGTCTCTTTCACCCTTATGTCCTTTTTGTCTCTTTTTCCCTGCCCTAAGGTGTCTCTCCACCCCAGCCCATTTTTGCCTCTTTCTCCCACAGCCCCTTTTTGTGTCTCCCTCAAGCCCCTTTGTGTGTCTTTCTCCCCTAGCCCTTTTGTGTGTCTCTCCCCCCTCACCCCTTTGCGTGTTTCTCTTCCCATTCCCCATCTGCTCTGTGTGGGTCATTGACCCTTTCTCCAGCGCATCTGTGTGTATCATTGTCCCCTTCCCCATCCCTTCTATGTGTTTCACTATTCCCTTCCCCATCACTTCTGAATGTCTCTGTGTCCCCTTCCCTAGCCTCTCTTGTCCCTCCCCAGACACGCTGTCTGTGTGTCTTTTTCCTACCATCCCTTTTGTGTGCCTCTTTGTCTCTCCCAGTCTCTTTGTGTGTCTCTTTGTCCCCCCCCAGCCCCTTTGTGTTGTCTTCAAAAACTGCTTGTTGCTCTCAACGAGCAGCTTCCTGTCCGACCAGGTAGAGGATACCGAAGATCCTCTACTACGGTCTACTGGGCTGAGCCACATTCAGTGACGAGCGGGAGGGATTGCGCTCCCCAGACTGTGCTTTGAGTGCTTCTTCAACTGTGTGGAATTGGCAGAATAACCAGAGGGCATCTGGGCAGCATCTGTGTATTGAATGGAACATAATATGGCCAGAACCCTGACATTACAATAAAAAACAGCAGTACTGGAGACTAAATTCTAGACCAGGGGTAGGCAACCTATGGCACTCAAGGTGTCTTTGCACGGAACTCAAGGCTGCTAGAGCCAAACAGGCTCTGGCCTATCAGGAGTCCCAGTGAAACTTCAGATACCTGCTAATACAAAAAGGTGGTAAAAGACAATCCTCAATTTATGCATTGCAGCACATAGTGAATGGGAATCCACACTGTAGTAGAGCATCCTGCAGCTGCTGTTGCAGCTCCTGTCCTCTACCTGTACCTGGTCATCCTGGTCCCCACTGGAACCCAGGGAAGCAACACACACTGCTAAATATACACAGAAATGCACAATAACCCTAACCTCATACAAATAATACGAACAGCCCACAAACATACACACAATCCGCAGAAACGTAACCTGCTAACAATCCACATACATGCACACAACCCCACATGCAGTCTCTCACATGCAATACCTCAAACAGCCCCCACACATATATACACACACTACCAAAGACACAATGTGACATATCCATCCACACACACAATTCCACAAGCAGCCCCCATACACAGCCCACATTCATATGTATCATAGACGATACCACAAACTACTCCTGTGAACATACACATTATAATAGCTCATATACGCACAAATATTCAGCGATACAAAGCAATTACCGTATAAATAACACAAGCAGAATACGGCAGCATACACACCTCAATTTAAAACAATAGGACCGGCACGCTACGGGACATCACAATCCTATATCGGCCAAGTGCTGCTAAAAGGTTGCCTACCCCTGTTCTAGACTATTGTCACAAATTTGGGATCTTCAGAAGGTATGTGGTAGTTAGGAGTCTTGTACATGCTTTAGAGTGGTTCTTTCTTGGTCACAGCACCAACTGGATTTATTGTGCACAGGTAGATAATTGAATCATTGGTTACTTAGACTGCAGAGGTATAAAACATTGTATCCTTGTGAGAAAAGTTGTGTTATTTTATGTGTGATCTCCAAGGAGTTCAAAGATAACTGTTTGAGATTTCTAAAGGGCCTATAAAAAGATATGTTTGCTTAGTGGAGACAAATTAAAATCTGTTACAAATTTTGCATCCATGTTTCCTGACTTAATAGATACCATAGAAAAGTGGCCAAAAAAATGTTGCTTTTTGGCAAGCATCTACACCTGGAGAACTCTTTCTGGCCACATGTCACAAGTCAAGAAATTTGTATCTCTGCAGTAGGAAAACATCGCCAAAAGCTTGTTGCCCTTCATGGTCCAAATCTTGAGTTAACATTATCATACAATTTAGTGAGCAAGGAGAAAGTTAATCATTTACTGATGCTTCTTGGTTATCCGACAGTCGCAAAATGTCTGCTTGAGCCCAGGTGACCCATTTGGGAAGAGGAATGCGCATTGTCTAACTCTATAAATGCTGTGAACACTTCTCATCCTCCTCAGCGACAGGTGTTCAAAGCATTGCTCTCAGTGTCACTAAGAACTGATGTATCTTCTCTTGAGCTTCTTTCACTTCCAGAGGTTCTGTTTGCAATTGTTAAAGAAAGGCAGCTGTCACTTGTCATTTTTTTGGCTCAGTGCAGTCTGAACCCATCGCCGCTTATGTGTATATCTATTTTGATATAGTAAAGCGAGGTCCTTAGCTTGACCTTGTAACTTTAATTGTTTGTGCATCTCTTGACTCAATATGTTACTTTTCCTCCAAAATGCAAATATGTTATGTTTCTATTCCACAATGAAGAATCTACATTTATTATTCATAGCGTTAATTATAAAGTGCTTAACCATTTCTTTTCTGGGGTGGTGTTCCACCCTCCTAGTGCTCAAATGGTTAAAGGTCATTTAATTTCCTACATTTTAATAGTACCGAATCATCATTTAAAAGGAAGCTTTTAATTCAGACTAGCACCTTGATTTGCAGTTGCTATGGAGAATCAAATCTGTCATTTGACGAGAAAAGTCACCCATATATGACAGCATTTTATCTTGTCCTCCCAGGGGAAGAAAATGTCAAAAAGTGAGAGCAAGGAAAAAAATTAAAGCCTTGAAACACCAGAATTTTCTTGATTTTCTTTTTTTTGTGTGTATTATTATTCAGCTATCATATCCATTCTGATAATAGCAACTTGCAGAAAATAAATAATGTTCCTTAAGTAAAATCAAATATTTCCCGTTGAAATGGACAGGTCTCTTTGTGACTGTCAGTGCTGTGAAGCCTGGCAAGAAATAGCATTATTAGATAAACTTGCGGTGCCCAAATCCAATTTTCTTTTCATTATATTGTCAAAATAATTATACCCGTGTAATTTGGGTAAGGGAAGGCAGTACAAGTAAAACAGGCGATTACAAAGCCTAGCCTCATGATTTCTGCATTTTTTCGGTGTGTGTGCGTGTAAGTGAATGCGAGAAAATAATATGTATAATCTCAGAAATAGAGGAAGCTGATTTGTGACTGTGATTTAGTGTATTTTACGATTTGGGAATAGTCTTAAACAAGGGGGGGCTTCTTTCCGCTTACTATAGTTAATTACATTTATTTCTACAATGACCCCCTAGAAATATTGACGACTTATTTCAGTAATGAGATACATTAGGTAGAAATTATCACCAAAACTTAATGCCTAACCTTATTACAATAAAAGAAATACTACATCTTTGTTTCAATGCTTCTCATTTTGTTAAATGCTGAAAAATGTCCAGGATATTAAAAGTGGACGGATATTCCTGTTTTGTAATATAGTTCTGCATTGCTGTGCATCATTGTGATTACTTATATTGCCCTTTTCATAGGTTAAATTGAGAATTGTGGAGAATTAAACGGATAATTCTTTTTTTATTTAAAATTAATGCAATATGTATTTGTTTTAAAAATGATGTATACCTCCCAACATTTCTATCCACATCAGGTTTCATTGCATATTTTTTGGGAAGAGCGATAAGGTGTTTTTATTATTATTTTATGAAACAGACGTGTACAATGTGTATGTTGGATGACTGCTGTATTGGTATTTCTTACTACTCCATGGTTGTAAATTAGAAATGGATAAATACAATGTACTTTTTTTTTTTTTGTAGTGATTTAATGGTGCTTCATACCTAAATTGGACAACAGAAGAATATGTTTCAATATGTTATGTACATTTCGCTTTATTTAGGCAGAATGCAATAGATTGAAATGATATTATTACTTATCTGTACCTTAAAACGTTATAGGACTTTTTGTATGTTTTGTGTAGTGTGAGCACATCAAATTATACTATCGCTCGATACTTATTGGTAGAATTTGGGATGAACAGTCCAGTCAAATGCAGGATAGTTGGGAATATAGTTTTTATATATCATTATAGATATAGTTATTTTATATGCAGTATGGATTTCTGGTAGCAAAAAGAGTGTACGTACAGACTGCCTAACTTATATGATCTATTTTGAAAGCCATGCACCTTTTTCAACTTAGATTGGGACCTTTGGTAAAATGAATGCTATGCATATCATTCATATACACATAAAATGAACGATATGTGATGTAAAAGCATTTTTTAAACCCACCATTTTCTATATATTGGCTCTAGTTTCCAACAAAAGTTATCTGCACTTTAAACAAGCTGAATTGTTGACAACGTGTCTTCATTTCTCAGTCACACACCTGTTACACTTTTAAAGGGACACCAAAGTCACCCTGAAGTCTCACTGCTCAATTCTCAGCCATTTAGGAGTTGTATTACTTTATTTATGAACCCAAGTCACACCTCCCTGCGTGACTTGCACAGCCTTCCTAAACGCTTCCTATAAAGTCATCTAATGTTTATCCTTCCTTTATTGCTAATTCTGTTTAATTTAGATTTTCTTATCCCCTGCTATGTTAATAGCTTGCTAGACCCTGCAAGAGCCTCCTGTATGTGATTAAAGTTCAATTTACAGAGCAAGAGATAAAATTGTTTAAGATAAATTACATCTGTTTGAAAGTGAAACCAGTTTTTTTTTTTCATGCAGGCTCTGTCAATCGGAGCAAGGGGAGGTGTGGCAAGGGCTGCATAAACAGAAACAAAGTGATTTAACTCCTTAATGACAGTGAATTGAGCAGTGAAATTGCAGGGGAATGATCTATACACTAAAACTGCTTCATTAAGCTTAAGTTGTTTAGGTGACTATAGTGTTCCTTTAATGCTTCTAGTTAAACTGCCTACACCTTTCATGTAACAGTGTACATTTATAACTGTTTCTTGTTAAAGGTATATTGTTTTGCTTTAGCTCTTTCTAGTGCAACATGTATAATTAACCAATTCATGGCTAACCCCTAGATGTTTGTGAACTATTTTTCCCAGGTTGCTTAGCCAGTTGTCAGAATGGCTGAGGATTCTAAGAACTTTAGTTTATAGACCTCTGCTTTCCCAAAGTTTACTGAATAAACCAATGGCTGTTCCATTCTGCCACTTTAATCTTGGCCCATAAAGATCTTGTAGTTCCATTGAGAACCCTATAGATCAGACGCCTTTAAGTCAAACTTTCATACTATTTTTTATTATGTTTCTTTTAGAAGAGCTTAAAAATCCATATATACAAATGCTGGCGGTTTGTAGAAAAACCTATTAAAAAATAGTTTTTTCTCCCAATTCCTCAGCGATCGCTCAATGTGGAAGAATTGAGAGACAGGGAGAGCAGTAGAGACCTCACACAGGATGTCCCTATGCTTTTCGACCACAGCAACCACTGCTAGTGCTAGTTAGGCAGTATAGGCACGGAGTGACTTTACGTCACTCTGTTCAGATGCCGATACACTGGCAATGAACACAGCGTGTCGTTGTCATGGAGAAGGTTTGTCCTGCTTGGTGATTTGTTCCGAAGCATGGCAAATTGTTGAACAACAAGAAGGAGCACTGGTGGACTGGAGGTGGATGTTACAGAAGTGAAATTGAGTGGCTAGCTGGGAGCGGGTAGCAGGGAGCTACAGTTTCACTTTAATGTTGTTCATTGCCCAAAGAGGAATTGTAGGCCCACATTATGATTATGATACTGGACATTATGGTGTCTAAAGGTTACACCCATTTGCCTGAGACACGTTTTTTCACCCCTGAAGCAAAACGAAGACAAAGTGCTGTGGGGATTAGTGTGTTTTGTAATTACAGCTACATTCTTCTGTTTTAGCCCTCTTGAGCAGCAGTCTGCCAGGTATGTGTATGTTATTTCCAATACCTATTTTAGCCCTTGCTGTGTCTCTCTAAACATTCTTGTATCACTATGAGCTCCTGTGTCTGTGTTTGAATAATGAGGGGAAGCAGAATAATAATAAGAATGAAGTGAAACTGAATTTTAATGACAGTGATGGACATGGGACTGGGTAGGGAGTGGACTCCACCTAGCATTCAGTGGTTAGATATAGGCACCACATACGAATCCAGAAACAGATCTAGGAGGAGTTAGTGACTGGAGTGGTGGTGATGGGGGAAGGGGGGATTCAGAGGCTGTAATGGAGGTACAGTGGCCTGTATGGACTGTTGGGGGGTTAGGGAATGTAGTGGGGAATAGTGGCTGTAGTATGGGGTTTAGGGGCTGCAATTGAGGGGAGAGGGGCTGTAGTGTGGGATAGGAGCTGCAAGATGGTAAGGCACTGTGCAGGTTGGTTGGAAGCTTTAGTAAGGATAGTCGCTGCAGTTGGAGGTATGGGCTACTGTTTAATTATAGGGCTGTAGTATGGGGTATAGTGCATGTAGTAGGGAGTTAATGGCTCTAGTAGGGCACAGATGCTGTAGTTGGGAGTTAACGGCTGTAGTAGTGGCTGTAGTAGTGGGTTAGGGCTGTAGTAGGTTATTGAGGGTTTAGGGGGTGATGTGATGTGGGGAGAAAGTGGCTGTTATGTGTGTTTTGAGTGAGAGGTGGGGCTGTGGCTGGGATACGGGGGCGGTGGTTGGGGGCAGGGCTGTGGTGGGGGGACTGTGACTGTAGTTGGAGAACCTGGGCTGTGGAGGGAAATACGGGCAGTAGAGTGGGTGATAGGTGCAGTAGTGTGGGGGGCTGGTGCTGTATGGGGGGACAGGACTGTAGAGGGAGGTAGGGGCTGAAGTGTGGGATTTAGGGGCTGAAGTGGGAGCACAGGGGCTGAAGAGGGAGGACAGGGTCTTTAGAGGGGGGGTAGGAACTGTGATGGAAAAACAGAGGCTTTAGTCGGGGGACTCATGCTGCAGAGAGAGGACAGGGGCTGTAGTGGAAAGGCAGGGGCTGTGGAGGGGGGTAGGGGCTGTGGTAGAAGGGACTGTGGATGTAGTGGGAGGACAGGGGCTGTAGAGGGGTAGAGGCTGTGAGGGGGATAGTGGCATTAGCAGCAGGAACAGGGCTGTGAAGGGGCAAGAAAGGGGCAGTAGTGAGGGTGATAGGTGCTTCTGCAGTAGCAGTGAGTGAGGGCTGTATTGATAGGACAGGGGCTATATAGGGTCTGTAGATTGGGGGTAAGGGCTGTGTTGGGGGCAGGGGCTGTGGTAGGGGGACAGGAGCTGTATATGGGGTGCAGGGGCTATAGTGGTGGGGAACAGGGTCTGCAATGAGTGGATAGGGGCTGCTTAAAAACCCCCAAAACATTTTGATAAAAATAAAACTAAAATGTATTCTTCCCTGTTTGAGGCTTACCTTGGGCCAGGAAGGGGGGGATCCTTATGCCTGGTGGTCAGGTGGGAGGTGTTGCTATCTGCACCCCTATCAAACTTCATTCAGTGGATAGCTGACTCTGCGGCCATGCTGGAACCTGCTGGGCAGTCTGTGCTGGAACTGGAGGAGAAGGGAGATGGAAGTCCGGCCCTGTACTTTTCTTCTTCTAGAGTGGCCGTGGACTCTACAGTCAAGCCGGAGCCTGGAGGAAATGTAAGGTCTGCTTGGGAGTCTGGGGGAAGAGTGGTGGAAGTCGTGCCCTCTTCCTGACATCATCAGAAGAGACCTGCTGACTCCAGCACCATTCTGGTTTGTGCTGGCTGCATTACTTATTGCAGTTATTGGAAACATTTTAGTCCCCAGCCAGAGGCAGAGGATTCGGATCATCTCTCTCCCCCATATCCACCACTGATACTAGCCAGGATATGAATATATTTGCCCATTTGGAAACTACGGAGAGCTCCCAATTAATTCATAAAAAACAAACACATTGTGAAGCCCGGCTATTTGATGATGAATGTATTAATTAGATAAATCATATATTTCTGGTAGGATGTAAGCCCTGGCCTTCAGATTTAGGACGTGTACATTTCATTTTAATGTGTTTAATAAAATCCTAATTTCAAGTTTCTAAATCATTATCCTTCCTAGAAAGTGTGAAAGGAAATGTATTCCCTAGAGAGCTGTACCAAAAAGGGACAACATAAAGCAGATGGGGATTCTGAGGGCTGGGAATGAAATCATCTCGAGTGTATTTAAAGATTGGCTCAAGGGTGAGAATCGAATCAAGATCAGGCCAGCAGTTTGAAAACACAACAAAGTGAGGAGCCGCTTTTCACATTGTATGTGAGGCACTGTCATCGTGCAGACACAATGCATTTCTTGGTTTCGGCTCAGCTTTGAACTAAAGGTGCTAGCACAGGGCATTAAGTGCTGTAAGAATATTTTTTTTTTCCTTGATACCAAATTTAAGCTTGGTGCAAAAGGGACACTAAACAAGAAAACACAAGGGCCTTTTGACATTACACGGGTAGTGTAGTATCTGTAGTATTTTTTTTTTTATATATATTATATTTTTGTAAGATGATAATGGAGCTTTCAAAGCCCTTTTCAT